GAATTATCATTATCGAATAGAACGGATTAAAAGAGGTAAATAAAAAGGAGCCGGAGAGTCAATTGAGTAAACAAAATATTAATACTCGTACCGAGCAAATGAATGCAAAAGATGTGACTTGTACATATGTTTTATTATTTACTCATAAGTTATATGTTATCACTTTAAAATAATTAAAAGTTCAATTATTTAATTTGATACAAATATTTATAGAAATATATGTAACACACTTCAATTTTTAAAAAGCATGACATGTTTATTTATTAATTTTCTTTTTTGCAAACTTTTTAATCTTAGCATTATCTTTATTTAGGCATGAAATGAGAGGGAGGGAGTAGGTATTTTCCACCAACTCACCGTTCCTATACTAGTCGGACAGGGCACGTCCAAATGTGACAAGAGCACACATATATTATATATATATGTGCAAGCACGACGGTGGACCCTGAAATCTGAATAGTGAGCAGGTCAATCCCTGACAATTGCCACGTCAGCTAATTGAAGTACCAAGTACCACTGCTATACCCCCACTATTCTTTCGCCACGCCGCCATTCTGCGCCACCCAACCACACCGGTGTTCCGCCGTAATCACCATGAGCACCGCCGAAGAACAAAACCTGAGTGCCGACGGCGCAGCCCATCTGGACACCATCTTCAAGCAGAAAAAGGCCCTTCGCTCCGTAGTTAAGAGAGATCTCAAGTCCCTGGATCCTTCCCTTAGATCCCAACAAGGTACAACCAAAACACATACTCAAATGAGTTTTTTCTTTTTTCTTTTATGATATTTACTGTTGGACCTCTATGTGGCTCATCAGATGAAGCAATACAAAGGATTGTGTTGGACGCTCCGTGGTTTAAGGCTTCTAAGAGATTGTGCGCTTACATAAGTTGTAGTGCTTTGCGGGAAGTTGATACATCCCAACTACTGTCTCACATTCTCCAGAAGCCATCCACAGGTTTGTATCTCAGAGGCAAACTTCTCCGCACACAATCACAGCAAAAAGTTCAATCTTCACACTTGAGTTTATCTATGGATGGTGAGGCTTTCTATAGCCAATCCGAATTGAGGTGTAGTAGTAGCTGTTGTTGTTTTAAGCATTAGAGAGTCAGCAAAATATTGGGGTTTGGGGTGGGGAGAGGATGCGGAAGTTTCTGATTCAATCTACTGTTTATGATAGTCATGAGGCTCATCCACCACCTTTGGTCACTTTCTCATCTTGGGTTTGTTCATTTGTTTCAATCTTACAAGCTAAATAAGTGGAGTTCTTTCTCCAAGAGAAAAAAAATAAAGAAGCTATATAAGTGAGAGTAGATTTCTGCTGTCATGTTTTCTGACTACTCATGTGGCAGATGCAATGTAATGACAGCATCTCAGAAGCACCGGCCTCTCAGCTCGACCTATGCATATAGTCAGATGATATTGAAAAATATATATCTGTGAGCGTCACCACAAAAAGGTAGTGAGAGTATAGTGGTAGTTCGCATCCACTAGCTTATATCCTGATTCTGGTGAAATACTAGGCAAACCTTAAGATAAGTACGGTAATCTACAGAGTATATGCCTGTTAATGCCATTATTCAAAATGTCCATTCTAATTTACTACTACCAAATGTAAGGTACAAGGACTTTTCTCATGGTTGTTCTCATTTTCTTTACTGTTTCTCTTTAGTGGTTCAATTCTTATAGAGCTTAATATTGACTTCTCATGTCATTATCGAATCAGAATCGGATTTGCAAATGAGGAAAAAGCTTTATGTTCCACGTGTGGAAGACAAGAACAGAAACATGCGAATGCTACACATCTCAAGCATTGAGGAAATGATTGCAAATTCAATGAACATCTTGGAGCCAGCTCCAGTAGATGCTGAAGGAAATGATAGGGAAGATGGTACATATACTTCTTGTCTCCTGATGTCAAATTTCTTTTATTTGTTAGCATTTGTTGTTCAAGTGATACTCTAATGTGGAAGTTCAAATCATTCTAGCAATAACTGTATTTGGGAAATCCTTGATGTATGTGATGATAACTTTCCTAAAGTTCACGTCTTGAATATATTGATATTTCCAGCACTCTAACCCTCACCGCACTGAAAACTTATTTTGTATTCTGTAGATTCTGTCATAGTGTGGTGAAAGGTTCTAGACAATAACTTTACGTTTCATGACCGTTAACCTTTCCAATTTCTTTGTTTGTGACAACAGTTAGGCGCTTCCGTTGGATATTATGTCCATTCCTTTTAATATAAAGACTACAAATCAAAGTAGTAAGTATCTAAAGGAATCTGTTTTGCCGGCGAATTCTCAGTATTGAAAGTTTTCTCTCGAAAAGTTATGGTTGTTGTAGGATATCATAATCATCAATGTTAAATATCTATGTAATCTGGGTTTGTGCTAGTGCCATGGAGCACTTGTCTGAAACATGCAAGATACAAACAGGAGAATAAAAGTGAAAGTATCATAGCTTTTCTATCATTTGGACCTTTCAATCTTTGAAAGTTTGCCTGCTTTAGATGGTGGAAGGCCTAAAAGATTATAAGTTTTACTAATGGAGAAGAGTAATAATAGCTTTTTGAGTTCTTGACTGAAGGATGACCTTATGCCTTCTTCAATGCTTAGACTACTTTTCTGCTATGCCTTCGTTTGATTTTGTTGTTGCTTGAGGCCTTCATCAAAAGAACTCAGTTATGGACTGGGCTATCGTTTACATCTCTTATTCTGCAAATCTTGTTCGTCACGTACTTCTTATTTTTGTCCAGTTTGGTTTAGTTGGTTTTAAAAGTGAAATAGGACTATGGATTTAGTGCTAGTAATTGAAGAGATTTTCATGTTGCAGTCTTGTTGGCGGATGAGCCTGTTGATTTGTTAATTTTACCTGGTAAGTACTTCCTAACTTTTCATCGTCAAACTTCTCGGATTCAAAACTTGAAACCAGATAATTTTGGAGTTGCATTTTGATTTCTGCTCTCTTTTTTTGAAGGACTTGCTTTTGACAAAGCTGGAAGGCGGCTGGGCCGTGGTGGAGGGTAGGGCTTTATATCTTTGACTCTCTACTTCATCTTCTTCAGAAGTGATAGGTTTAACTGAGAAGTGCAACCCATGAAAAAGAAAATAAGAGAAGAGTCATTATAAGTTTCTCCCTCTTCTATAAACCTAATATCCTCTTGTGGTGATCCTTTCTTCCTATGGCTTGTGAAACAGTTATTACGATACCTTCTTGACAAGATATCAGGAACGTGCAAAGGAGCGAAATTGGAAGCAACCTCTCAAGAGTATGTTTCTTCGTTACTTCTTTCTAGGACTGCATGTGACAGTTCTGATTTGTTCCCAACAGATGATTTTAGCTGCTGCTCAGTGACTTTTTTCTTTTGGATTGCAGTTGCGCTTTCTTACTCAGTGCAGATATTGGATGAGGGCACTATACCACTAACTCCAAATGATGTTCTTGTTGATGCACTTGTATCACCTTCTGGTCTGATCCCCATTAGTCCAGCTGCACTGGAGATATTCCATTGATAAAGATGCTCCTCTAAAGACCCTCAGGCCTCAGGTCTACAGTTGCACCGAGTAGAGGTGACACAAAATCCTTTCACTTAACTAATGGATCTGACTGTGAAGAAATCATGTACTTTTACTTCATCAAGACTCAAGTGCAAGGGTTAACAGATGGTTCTGTTTCATTGCATCTAGATAAAGAGCCTTGGGGAAAGTTCCTAATCTGTTGTATTCTACTGATATTGAGTTGAGAAACCTGAAGAAAACTGTGTCCTGAATGCGTTGTATTCTACTAGTGTTAATTGTGTAAGAGTACTCATATAGCTAAAGTAATACCCTTTGGTTTGAAGTTATTGTCCCTTTGGTTTGAAGTTATTGTCACTCGCTCTCTACCTCCTTTTACCAAGACCCTTTAAAGTAAGACACTATACTTTACTTGTGTGAGCACATTCACATAATTAAGACTAGTTATATGAGACACATGCTAAACTCTTTCCTCTTGAATTGAGCCTTTATGAAGTGAAAAGGTTTAAGATCTTTAATTACACTTGTGGGATTTTTATATGTATCTTGGCTTAAAGCAAAGAATATGGAATTTGTATCTAAAGGGTTCTGTGGTAAAGCCTTTGTTTTGGATGAAGAGTTAAAGTAATCAATAACTAGTGATTATGAATTATGAGATTTGTGCAATAGTGGACTAGTTTTGAAATTCCATTTATCGGCTACTCATAACTTAGTTTAAACTCTGGGAGTCGAAATTCTTCCATAAGTTCTTTGAATTGCACATTAAGGACATGGTAGAGGAATACATTTGAACAAAAGAAGCATATTACTCTCAGGTAGGAGTGTTTAGTTCGATTTGATCCATTTTTTATCTAAAACATATTATGTTTATATGTTTAATTACATATGTGATCAATATTTCTGTACTTATATTACTAAGTAGGTTCGACTCTTTTTTTTTTCCTCAAAATTTACAGGAAAATTAAAAATGTATCTTAATTATTTGGTACTGCTGTAGGCTCATAGGGGAACCTTTGCATTTAAAAAAAAAAAAAAAAAGAAAGAAAAGAAAAGAAAAAAAAAACCTAAATAACCTAAAAATGGGTTCGGCTTGGTCAATTTTTATGAGGTCCACAACTGGTGGTGAATATTCTTGTTCACCAAGCAGATCTCACACTTGAAGAAGCAAGTAGAGTATTATTTATGGAGTAAACTTTTTCCTAGGGGTGTACATAGATCGAGTTGGTTCGGATTTTATGATTACCAAACCAAACCAATTGTATCGGGTTATTAATTCTAATGACCAAACCAAACCAATTAAATTCGGGTTTTTCAATCTCGGGTTTTCTCGTATTTTCGGGTTATTCGTATTTTTTTCTGGTAGAATTGTATTGGAAAAAAACTGAATTTATATAAGATGACGTGTCATAACACGTGGACCAGTCAAATAGTCAAAGCGTGGTAATCAGTTAGAAGGCACGAGCAACAACAGATGCGGGAGAGAAGATACTTAAAGGCACGAGCTATTATTCAAATGAAATGAGACTCGTACCTGTTCGAGTCATTTAAAGCTCGAAGATCGGAAGGAATTGAAGAAATGAATCTGATAGCGTAAAGGAGTCCAAATTCAGCATTAAATGCCAAATACGTTGAGAGAATTTGTATTTAATAGGAATGATTGAGTAACGTTTCTTTTAATGTCATTTATTGCTCATAATTGCCTCATTATGACAAAGGCATTACACTTTCTCCTAGAATTAACTATAAAAGGGGAAGATCTCAATATCTGTAGGACACGAAATATCATTGGGATTATACTGAAATATATACTTATTCATTGCTTTATTGTTGTTCTCAAAGTCTCTCATTTCTTGATTATCAGTAACCCGATTTCTCTCTTAATTTCTAGCTTTAACCAAATATTCAATTTTTTTTGGTTAAACAAATTGGTTCCGTTACCGGGAATCGGATAATCTATTCTTTTTAAGTTACATTTTATCTGTTGTTATCATCATGTCAAACAACAACAACAACAATAACGGTGATGAAAATTAAATCCATCAGAATCAAGGAGATTTACAAAACATTAACGTGGTTCCTTCCCCTCAAAATTCACCACGTCAATCTCGTGAAGGTACTCCTGCTCCTGAATCTCGTGCTGATGAACAAGAGCAATCTGAACATTTTGAAGGGCCAGATGAAGCTTTACAAAAAGTAATTGATGCACGGGTTAGCAAAGCTCTTCAAGCTCTAGTTAGTCGATTATCTGTTGCACCACCCACACCTACGCCTAATAACAATACATTGGAGAATCCTCGTTCTGGCCTTGTTAATTCTGGAAATGGAGGAACCCCCAGTGAACCACAGGAAGGAGAACCAGGTAATTCAAATAATTCTCATTTGCAAAATTTAGTACTAACATTGCAGAAACAGCTTAAGGAACAAAATGAGCGCATCGAGCAAATCCCTGGAGTTCCCCCTGTAATCAAAGGAGTGGATGTGGATAAAT